GAAACTTCTTTTTATATTTCTCTGCATATTTTTGTAAAACAAACTGCGCTTGGAAAGGGCTGGAGTTGACACCAAATACAACTCTTGTAAATTTTAATAACTCAGGGTTTTTATTTTCTTGTAGATCCAGCCAAAGAAGTCTGTGGTATCTTTGATCTTTCGGATTAAGCTCAGTTTACAAGTACATCTCTGTGATATCAGCCAGCAAAGCGACTGCGTTTCTTCGTAACCACAACAGAACGACACAGAGATCTCGTTGCAGTTTTGGTCTTTGATGAATGACTCATTCAGCGAAACACTTTGGCATTTTGCAACAGCATCAAAAACGATTCTGACTTTTGTGTTGCGGGAGGATCCATTGATTTTTGTAATCATTATTGCTTACTTTTTTGATATAACCTTTTGTTAAGTAGTTTAGTTCCGTTTTGTTTCTTTGTAAATTTCCGTCACCTCCGGTGTTCTTTTAAGCCGTTTTTCCGTACTTATTAACCAATTTACTGCCATTTCATAGTTGTTTGGTAACAATTTTGGATCCTCTTTCCAAGGAATATTAATTTGATATCGCCCATCCACATAATTTATTGAATTTTGTGTTTGATATAGGGCCTTTTTATCTTCAACACTTCCAGCTTGCGTTTCTGATGTTGGATGAACTATTTCGATTTCCCAAAATTTTTTTAGTGTTTCATTAATTTTTTTAACTTCAGAAATATTTTTAACTTTAGAAAAATTTTATTTATCCGATCCAATAAGAATATCTACAATTGGATGCTGTCCCAACCTGCAAAACGGTATGATTTTTAGGTGACTCCAATGGTTTTTATATTTATTCCAATCCACCACTGTTGTCAACTGTTAATGCATTTATCTTCTTTTTTAATTTACCATCAATGCTTTGCAACTGAAATTCAACCGGCATTGTTTAAAATGTGTCTGCTCTACCATTGAGTACATTAATCTTAATTTCTTTTATTACTCCTTGTAATCCAAGTTCTGCTGCTACATCACTGTTTATAAAGGTTTGGGTACTAGCATCATCTAATAGAGCGTTGACTTTTATCGGCCGTTTTCTATTTGTTAAAATGAAAGGTAAAGTTCTCATAACCACATCTTGACTTTGCTTTTTGCTTGAAAATTTGGTTAGAAGAGTTGCTTTTTCCTTTTTTTCTCTCGTTTGTTTCTTTAAATGCAGTAGTCTGTTATGAGCTTCGTGACAACCATCTGTTCCACATTTTCTTAATTTCTCGCATTTGTTTCCAGCATGATCATTACCCAAACAACAATAACATAGATGATGGAACTTAACTTATTCCCATCTTTTACTTACTGCCATGGATTTGAACTTTTCACATTCCCAAACTGCATGTTTACTATCACAAATTTTGCACATTTTTTTTACATCGTCTTTGAGTTTTTCTCCAAAGTATGTTCTTTGTTTTTCTTTTAAGTTTTTAAAGGGCTTTTCTCGATAATACTTTGTATCTTCCAAACCACAAAAGGTTTCCTGGGCAACTGTATAAAACTCTGCTTCTTGAATAACTCATTCTGGCAACGATTCTACCCCAGGATTTTTTTGCTTTTCAAATAACCATCGTAAAAATACACTTTGTATTGTTTTTGGAAATTTCTTCATAAGTTTAATGTAGATTAAGCCATCTGCTAACTCTTCGAATTTTCCCAATTCTTTTAAATTTATGACTGCAATGTCATAGATTTAAAAGAATTAGGAAAATTGTCATAAATTTGGGTTGTTTGGTTTTACTGGACTAAAGTTTTCCACTCTCTCCAAATAAAAGGCAACTTGTCGTCGTTTGCCCCCATACTTCCTTTCGAGTCGATCTTATGCAGCTTTGTACGCAGCTTTTAAATACCCCAAACTTTCAACAACCTTTGAAGCTTTTCCTGATAAGTACTGATGTAGTTGCAAGATTTTATATTTCGTTGTAGCTGGAACCCTAACAATACATGCCTTGAACGCTGCCTTCCAATTTTCGTACTGCGTTTCATCCCCAGAGAAGACAGGAATCGACATTCTAGATAAGTGCCTACATAAGTCTTGTCCAATTTCTCTTTTTATACTTATACGTCGTTAATTGTTTGTTGAAATTCTTTACCTTTTTCACAGTACTCCGTTATTTTAGATGGTTAACCTCGCCAACTAGTTACAACAGGGCGTATTTAATAGTCCTTTTTTACATCAAATATTTCAGTATACCGTCTAACTAGTGCATCCAATTGGACATTTTTCAACTCATCCCATTCCAGTTGCCAATTTTGTTTCAAATGCTTTACATATCCATCATCAATCAATCCATTATCCATTTATCAACAACGCGTTGATCCCATTTCCATTTTTCCCATACCATGTTATTCATTATCAACTTTATTAATCCTTTTTTTATTTTTCATTTTTTGACCATTCCTTTCAAGTTGACGTTTACGTTCGCCACCATCCCCTATTGTGACAATGCTTGAAGCGTCATCTTTTCGAAAGTAAAGATATTTGTGCGTCATTTCGTCTGCTTCCATGTAGGCAGACTCTATTACTTCAATTTCTTTTGTGACCTTGGTCGCCATTACGAACTCGTTATTTTTCCAATACTCAACTGAAAGGTCATCCATTGTCTTTGTTGCAGCTGATAGTGCCACATCAAGCTTTTCCCAACATTCGCGAACATTGTTTCTGCTCGGAAGGTCGGATAAAGTAATTCCATTAGCGTTCTTCTCGTTCTCGTAAACGTCGCTTTTGTCTTCGCTTTAGCTCGTTTTAGTCGAACTATTCGAATATGATTAACTTCTTCCAACTCGCTTTCACTTTCAATATTGTTCATTGTTGTGTTCAATTGCTAGAAAAAAAAGGTTCTTCCAAAAAAATTTATACGCGATTATAAATGCCATATAATATTTTCCCATAGAGATATTATAGGTATTTTCTAACTTTATAATGATATATATATATATATATATATATATATATATATATATATATATATATATATATATATATATACAAAATTTGCTAATTTTCTCATTAGCTAAGGAAATCTCTAAGGTCAATATATGACGCTTAGAGACGTTTATAATACAACTATATTATTTACATTTAACTACTATTTACAATGATCGCCTTGTGAACATATATAGTCTTTTACTTTGTGATTTTTGCTTTTTAAAAAGCTCTATAAAAGTAATATATTGTAATAAAATATTATTTTATGCAACATTACAATTTATATTTTGATTAATTTGAAAGTTGATAATTTAAAATAAAGTGTCATCCTTGGAGTTAAAGTTGTTATTTAATGTATTGAAAGAACTATTCCTGGAGTAATATGCAATAATGTTAATGAGTTGGTTACAACAGTTTTATGACGTAGATCTCTTGAACCAGAGAATGTTGATGTTAACATCTGGGTAGATGGAGGACAAGACTATCTTAAGGTTACTTTTATCAATTACATTAAAGCCAGAGCTAGAAGCACACTCAAGTGAAAAGAAAAGAGTGAAATGTTCTGAAGAGTATGGATGTAAAGATTTCAAGTATACTAGTGTTCACAAAGCTTTAGTTTTGACTGTATTACCCTCTATTGATGAAAATTATGCAAACATAAAAATTTTGTTGGTTAATTTAAAACTTAATTTTCTGTATTTCTCTATTTCAGAAGATCTAAAGATTATTTTATTAAGCCATTCGTCAAAACCCACCTTATCCACTTCAATATAATACCTACCTTATCCACTTCAATATAAAACCTACCTTATCCACTTCAATATAAAACCTACCTAATCCACTTCAATATAAAACCTACCTTATCCACTTCAATATAAAACCTACCTTATCCACTTCAATATAAAACCTACCTAATCCACTTCAATATAAAACCTACCTTATCCACTTCAATATAAAACCTACCTAATCCACTTCAATATAAAACCTACCTTATCCAATTCAATATAAAACCTACCTAATCCACTTCAATATAAAACCTACCTTATCCACTTCAATATAAAACCTACTTTATCCACTTCAATATAAAACCTACCTTATCCACTTCAATATAAAACCTACCTTATCCACTTCAATATAAAACCTACCTTATCCACTTCAATATAAAACCTACCTTATCCACTTCAATATAAAACCTACCTTACCCACTTCAATATAAAACCTACCTTATCCACTTCAATATAAAAGAAAGCTAACTTTTAAAAAGTGATAAATTAGACAATAATGTAACTAGAAAACCCAAATTTTTATCAGAAGTTATTTTAAATACGATCTTCAAAGCGTCAATCCACTAAATCAAGCAAATTGTATACAACTATTTGATCCACTCGCAGGGGTCTTAGGCAAAGTCAGAGGAGCACTAACCTCTAGTTAAAACAAGTTTAGAGCTTAGATTTCTCAAAAAGCTACCAAAAAATGATTTAACTTTTGATAGTTTTGGAATGTGCTCATGAACTACCTTAAAAATCAAAAAAAAAAAAAATTTATGGGATATGATATAAGGTTTTAGATTGCCTTGTACCCGTGTACTGTTGGAATTTGAAGCGTCGCGCATGTCAATATTTTAATCATGAATATTTATATCAATTTTTGTTTAATTACCTGTTCTTAGCTTGAAATTTCATAAAATACGTAGTTACAAGATTGGAAGAGGTCACAAAGCCAAAAAATAAAAAGCAAAAGTTTTTTTTAAAGCATTATCATTTTTTCTTTAAAATAACCGATAAAATTTTTTAATTATTGCTCTATAAAACTTTTAATTCAACAGTGTCCATTATTTTGTAATTTTTCCAAAACTAAACAAAGCATAAAAATTGCCTGATATATTAAATTAATATACTGCAACATTTTGAATATACATAATAAGTAAATAACGTAGATTGCTTTTTGATACGTTTTTTTTAACGTTATTCTTCACGTTATTCTTCAAAACATTTTTTCACGAATCGCGAAAACGTCAGAAATTCCAACGCCATTTGAAAAATATTTTCTTTAATTAAAATCGAACTTTGATAAAATTACTTTTAGATAAGTCACACAGTAAACAAACAATAAAAAACGTCAATTATTTTTGTTGGAGTAGTTTTTAAAAATGGCTTCTCTACAGGTTGATACCTTTATATTGTATTATCTCTTTTTAATATCAATAATAAAATAATTTCATACTATTTTCTAAAATAAGCTTATTATTCGCAATTATTTTTTTCCTATGTGTGTCTATGTATGTATTTTATATTACTCATAAAAACTATAAAAATTTCTTTTATATACATATAAAAATTGTTAAATTATAATTGAACTATTTTTTTTATCCATTTATTTCTCCATAATTTCAAGTCTATTAAAGCGTTCTTTTAGGTTTAAAAAAACAAGGAATAATTTGTCAAAGAATTATGCATCAAAGGAAGATAATATCATGAACTGGCTGCAAATTCATAACATAAATTCTAAAATTCTATTAATTAACAATAATTGTACTCGCAAATCTAACTTACTTAACATTTAGGTAAAATAAAAGACTTAAAAAAGGAAATCAAAATATTCTATTATAATTTAGGATATTTGTTTTAGTAGTTTCCCTATCGTCTTCAACTTCAATAATCATTAAATGAAATTGAAACAAACAAAATTAGTTTATACAGACTTGAGTTGTCATAGAAACTCATGAAACTTTTAAAAACAACTAGAATTAGATGTAAATTATAAATTAACTTTGCACTTCTTACAAAAAACTTGTGGTATTCCAGTGAAGCCTGTATATTTAAGTCATTTTTTGTCCGCAAGAAAATGAAAATGACCAACATCTTTCCTAGTGGATGGCTCAGGCATAGTAGAAACCCCTCCTCTTTTTGTTTTTATAAAGATGGTCATCAAAAGTGGATTACTTTGCCTAATGCTTAAATTTTATGAAACTGGAATAAACATTTTGCAGCTTTCAGCTTAAATATGCAAAATTAAAGAATATTTTTCATTGAAGCTTGTGCCTTTTTTTATGTTTATATTACAATCAAATCAAAAAATGCCTAATAAGTTTATGTTACCACTTTTTGGATCAAATATAGATATCAGATAACTCTGCATGCCATCAAGGTCTACCCCATTCAAATATTTTTTGTACGTTGTAATAACAATAGATGATATTTTCTGGACACTGTATGTTGTCATTACAATGACAAAATAACTTTATTTTCAAATTGGTTTAATTTCATCAGTAAAGCAACTTTTTTAAAGTACAACTCATTGCTCCAGTATATACACAATGATAAAAAGAAACTTTACAATACTCATCAAATACAAAATGCCAATTAACTGCTCAATTTCGTTTTTATCAATATGTTACATCTTCTCTGTGTTTTTTATGAAACATAGTTATTTGACTCATCAACAATTTTATAAACAAGTTCATCAGTTAGAAATCTTCTTACATATGATACTGGTTTGTCTGAAATGCTTTTATAATCATCTTCTTCATCTTTACTGTTTTAAAATGAAAGATTTATTTGCTGATCATCATTAGTTTTTTTTATCTTTCAAATAATTTTTTTTTCTGAGGTTGGCGTGTTGATGGTGGTGTTGCAGTGGCAGTTTTTGTGTTTTCACCAATAGCAACTGTGGTGTTCTTTGTTGTTTATTACAATCTAAAACATCACTTTTGGCTTTCGAATTATTATATACTGATTCTTGCTCAGATGTAATAAAATCTTTATCAGATTCACTTAATAGATCACTAACTTTAGATAACTCAGTTTGGTCTACAGGGATACAGTTTCTCAAAATGGGATTCTTAACTTCTTTAAAGATCTATTAAATTTTTTAGGATTTATCTATACAGGGATTATCTTTTTCCGGATATTTCCGGAATTCCTGATATTTTTTTCAACTTTAATTTTTTCGGATATCCAAAACATTTTCAATACATGCAAGTTGAGGTATATATTTTTTTAATATATTGATTTTTTAAGCTTTTTCACTCATCACTCATAGAAAAATAATGAAAAGTGATCAAAAATATTAGAAAAAACTTAGCTGAAAGTGAAATTAAAACGAAAATAAGGGAAAACATTCTGGATTTTTTCCGAATATTTTATTCAAACAATTTTCCGGATTTTTAAAATATAACTAGGATGATCTATATCTATAACACTTAAAAAATAGAATTATCCTACAACACCTATTATTGTTTCAAAGGCATGAACTTGAAATATTTCTTTTTTTACATAGAAATTGACTAAATATTTCGAAAAAGTTTCCAAAATGATATAGATATCAAATAGTATAAGTCAGAATTTTTAAGATGTATTCTCTTTTCATTATAAAGTTGCTTCTAGTGAGAAATACATTGATGTTTTATTGAGAGCTTGCTATTTTTTTTGATAGTATTGAAAAAGGATGGTAATTACTATTTTCAGTAGTTCAAGTGTAATATTTGTGTATCATTTGTTTAAATAAAAAAATCTGTAAATGAATTGTTTTGGAGAAATTCTTATGTATGTACGTTTTGAACTGTTGATATGATTCACAATTTTTTGTATAAAAAATTTGTTTTTAGTTATAAATTAATAAAACACATTGGTTGCAGTATAAAATTTTTTTTTTAATATTTGTTTTAAATCTCTTTCTTTACTTTTTGTTTACGGATAAAGTTTTAATTAACTTTGATTACTTTCCATAAGTTTTATTTAAAAATTAAAATTTCAATAAAATTATATCAATTTTAATACCGCTGTAAATAAAGTATAAAATAGTTTTTAAACTCATTAGTACATAGTAATTTAGTTGAGTAGATTAGGGTTCAAATTGTAGATTAGAATAGAATAGGTATAAAGTAATTTAAATAGTACAATCATTGTTGTTTGCTCTTATATTCTTTAAGCATTTATACACTTACACGCAGCTTTTAGTTTAGGAATATTTAGATGAAATGGAAATATTGGATTGTTGTTGTATTTATCTAGGATGTCAGAAACTGTTTACAATTTTTTTTTTATCAATTTGTTTTATTTATCTCTAAATCCTTTTATCTTGTTAACAAAAACAAAGCACTTATAAACTGATGTTGCTCTCATGGTTATAGTAAAAAATGACATTTTTTCTTTTCAATATTATCAGTTCATAAGCTACACTTATGAACTGATGTTGCGCAGTCGTAGGAAAAGATAAAAAATTTTCTTAAAGAAACCTTTTAGCATCTTTTTTTTAGAAATCAGCTTAAGTGTTAGTTTGAGAAAGTGAGTTTGTTTATTTGTAAAAAAATACAACAACTGATTTGAATTTTTAAATTTGAAAAAAATATATAAGAAACTGATTTACAACATCCAGTAATTCATGGTTAACATGATTGTTATGAGATATCCACTAATTTTTTAATATTTTTTAAAATTTCTTAATTATAAAAAAGTTTTTTTTTTTAATATTATCTTGAAACATAAACTTATAAAGGTTCAGATTCAAATTTAACAAAAAGACGGAATAAATCTAAATTCTTTTATGTCACAAAATTCACTCCAAATTATTTTGTTATCAATTAAATCTTTATTTTAGTATTCCTTCCTTAGTTACCTTAGTATTGTTTCCATTATAAGATTAACAATATTATTCTAGAAATTACCTTGGATCATTGCTTACTGTATTCTTTAATCTTAACTGATTTTCAACAGCTTGACTAAGCTTAGCTGTTAATTCTTTCAAAAAGTTTTTAATATTATCACACTATTATAAATAGTAAAACTGTTCTTCTGCATCAGGTCCAATACAACGGCTTTGTTTTCTTCACAAAATGTAAATAGAATCCAGTGTTTTAAATAGGACTTAAATCAATAAGCTAATGTGTTTCATCTGACTTCTGGAGGCATTTTAAATTTTAACCCACCTTTTATATTGTCAATTACAGCATCAAAAAGGTTGTTTCTAAAATATCTTACAACTTCAGCTTATCCTTGAGTTTTCAGATTGCTAAAATAAATACTATTACATATATCTTTTTTATGTTGTTTCTGATCAAATTTACCGTGCCCTTTCTCTTTATCATTCACCCAATATTGTTGTTTTTAATGGCATTTTTTATACAAAGTATAAAATTTTTTATACAAAGTAATTTTTTATACAAAGTATAAAATTTTTTATACAATACAAAGTATTTTATACAAAAAATACTAAAAAAATTCTCTAAAATAATCTTGCTTGCAAGCAATATTATTATCACATAATATGGTTTTTCCAGCAATTATATTACAAATGCATTAAGCACTTTTGTAATGAGATGAAAAAAAGTTACTCCGTTGAAACTATAATTAAATAAACAAAATAGTTGAATGTAAAACCAGCATAAAAAGTAACTTTAATTAAATTTAATAAAAAAAATTTTTGTTTTCTGAAACATAGTTAAAAAGTTTTAAAAGTAAAAATTAATTACAAAACAAAGCACTTTAAATTTTTTTAAATTTAACATAAATTCAATAAAATTAACTTAAACTTATTAATATTAAATCATAAATTTATTTTAAATATAATAAAATGAATTTAAATTTAAATTTTTTTGAAATAGAAAGTATAAAAAAATTTATTTAACTATCTGCTTTTTATCAGGAAAAAAAAAAAAAAAAAAAAAAAAAAAAAAATGTATATATATATATATATATATATATATATATATATATATATATATATATATATATAACTATATACATAACTATAAATATATATATATATATATATATATATATATACAGGCTTCGGCAGGAATGACGGGCTATAGCCCGTGTCCGTCTCCGCACCCGTCTAAGTCAGTTTAGACGGGCAAAATAAAGCCCGTCTGAAACATAAGTTTTGTGTAAGAAAAAAGATGAATATTTTGATGTTTTTTTATTAAGATACTCTTTTAAAACTTCTCTCATGACATAATTTTAATATGGATAGCAAACTTCAACTTATAATTGTTTATATTTAAATATAAAAATTAAACAATTTAATCATTATTGTATAACATGATGTAGAAAATAATATAACTAAATCTTACAGTTTCTTAAACGACGATAACTGTTTGATATAATACCAAACAGTTACCATATTATGTTCAAAATTTAATAACTATTATATTAAATAGGGAAA